TATCTCGTATTTGTAAGCCGCCCGGAGTCCTACGGGATTGGGCGGCATATAAACTTATTAAATTACGAATTATGAATTAATTATTCTATTATTTGGGAAAGTGTCAAGGTGGAATTATGAAGTCAATAATGAAGGACAAATGTCTTTCTACTTGTAAACCAAAAGTTATGGAACTGGAAGATGTAGATATCTCCTAAATTGACAATATGAATTACCAAAAAGAATGGAGTCAATAAATCAAAGAATTTCGAAGAGAAGTCTTTTTTATTTTCATCAATACAAAAAGTATCCTGAATGTGTCCAATAATCCAATGGCAAAAGCCTATGTTAATATAGCGTACAATGTTTTTTTTTCTGATTGGAATACTGGTAAAGGATTTCTGTAACATGAGTCTAACTATATATTAACAACAGCACTTAGATTTATATACCTCTTCATAGTGCTTTACAGCACTGGGTAGTTTACAGTGTCAGCATATTTTCCCCAACAATCTGGGATCTCATTTTACCAACCTCAGAAGGACAAAAGGTTGACTCAACCTTGAGTCAGTCAGGATCTAACTCCTGGCTGTGGGCAGAATTAGCGTGCAATACTGCATTTTAACCACTGCACCCCCATGGCTTTGAACTGACATGTTTCATCCAGAAATGTTACAACCAGAAATGTAAACAAATTAAACAAGCTATTCACTTCTTTGTTTGTAGGGCCTAATGTTTTGCACAATGAAATACTGGATATCCTACAAAATTGGGTTTGATGGCAGCTGTCTGAAACTTAATTTTAACTTTTAAAACCCTTGAAGTTAGGACTTGACTATCCAAGAATCTGTTGCTTTCTTCTTCAAATATTATTGTTTTTACAGTATCTCATCTGATTTTTTAAAAATTCCTAAAAGGTTTTCCTAAAGTCACAAATACTCACTGAACCCATTTGTTCACACATGTAAGAAAAGCTTTTTTCTTATGTTGTTCTCCAAGTACAAAATGTACTTCATCCAGGTATCTCTTGGCGGTAAGACATGCCACTAATGTTCCCTTTTAAATAATATTTAAATTCTACTGTTCTACTTTGAAAGTTTTATTTCAAATTATTTATGCAATGGTTTGGTGTTTTTAGCAAAAAGATGTTCCAAAATATTAATAAATTAACTATTCAGATTATAGGATTTATATAATGCATTTTAAGTGGGACCCTAATGGTGCTTTTCACATTAAAGATCTATACCAGTTCAGCTTCAACAAAGATCTATTACTGTACAAGCTGCTCTCAAACTATCATTCTTGGATTCTTAATATTTTAGTTGAGAGTCTGCAGATGGCTGTGATCTCTGAAACATTACCCACATTTTTCTATTGATTTTGTCCTGAATTTCAAGATGACTTTTCTTATGTTTTTGTATACTGAAGATTGTATACTGGAACTCTAGTTGGTTTAATAAATGCTAAAGGCCATTACCCTTATCATGGATTGCTATTAAAAAAAAGAATAAAAAACACTAAGTTCAATAGCCTTTACTTTCAATGATCAGATGCTTTCAAGAAACTGGGTACGTATTTCAAATTATGGTTCCATGTATATAAAAGCTGTTGGGTGCAGCACCACCTGACTTTGGATGATCTAAAAAAATGTAAAGCAGACTCTGTTTGCATTCAGAGATATGAGACTACCAGGAAATCCCAGGGCTATAAGCTAATCTTGGGAGTAAAAATAATTCAAGATGACAATACAGTACAACATTAACTTCCATACTATTGCCAAGGGAAAAAACATGGATGTGTTCACATAACACCATGAGTAGAACCTGACTAAATAAAATCATTATTTTTTAAACAATGAAGAGTATTGTAGACTCAATAAAATGGCTTTCCTTTCTTTTTATGATCTATGTTCCTTCTGAATGTGGATCAGGATATAAATAGATAAAGTATTTTTTAAGTGTTGTTTCAACTCCCTACTTTACTTTGTAGTTCTGCTATTGTTTGGTAGCTTCCCATCCAATTAATGGACTAGGTTTGATCCTGCTTAGCTTGTTAAGACTGCCCAGGGTAAGTTAGGTGCTGCCATTTAGCTTCAGTAAGTCTTAAGAGAAAATAAAGGTTGGAAACAAATGATAAATAAATATTCCTTTATTAAATGATGACTGGCATATAGGTCTTCTGCTAAACAGAATCCATGTCAAATGCAGCAGATAAATAACATTGAGGAAAGGGTAATTTTTGGCTTACTCTCCAATCCTAAAATATCTACAGTACTTGGAGTTGAGGGAAGCATTTTTTAATTTCTGCAAAGTTGTTCTCAGATTAACATGTCTGACACACACAGACTAAAAACAGAGTGAATATTGTATGTTGTGTTTTAAATCCAGCAGGCCCAAATATTTTCAGATGTTTGAAGAAACCCTTAAGAAAAAAAAAATAAATTTTCTGTTCCTCACAAAAAAATCTTAACAGATTTCTGAAAGGAGCCTATTTTTTAAAGGAGCCTATTATAGTTCTAAATTTACTTGCAACTTATTGAATGTCAACTCCATTTGTGTAACTACCAGTTTGCTGACAATAGTCTTAATCTACCAACCTTTGCAAAGCTTAATTGGAAAGCTCTGTACACATATAATTGAAACGTTCATAGGAAAGTTGGTGGGTTTAACAGTGGATTTGTTAGTTTTTAGAGGGGGGGAACCCAAGAAAACTGTAATATACTATAAGAAATTGGCTGCATGGACCTGTTTTAAGACTCATTCCTGTTTCCCCCCCTAAAGAGTGGCAAGTGATATATTTCTAAATGAGGCGCACTATTATAGAGTCAAGATTTTAAATAGCATAGCAATATGGATATTATTCTAAAGAACAAAACTCCTTATGTTAACAATGAAAACAAAAAATCTACTATTTATATATCAAATCACCTGAGTTTATTAATAATAAAAAACAGATACTCAGAGACATCTGATTGTGTTACAAGACATCCTTGACATACATATGGTATGGGTTAATTCCTCAGCTATGGGTAAACATTAATACTCATAAGGAAGATAATAAGTTTCCAAATGGACTTTCCACATATCTCCCTTTTCTCCAATCTGAAATTGTACCTAAAGGCTATATTTTTAATAAATCTGCAACCAAGGAACAAATATCTGATAATGTTGATCTGCATTCCTGAACTTGGCATCCTCCAGACATGTTGGGATTGTAATGTCCAAAATCCGCAGATACCCAACAAATTTTGAGAGTTGTAGTGTCATCACTGAGAAGGCTGGCGTGGACTGGTAAAGAGTAGAGCAGTAACTTGCCCCAAATGTGTTATATTCTACCTGGATCTTCTTGTGACAATACAATGAAAGGTTCAACTTCTTTATTTCAAGTCTGCTTACTCTTGACCAGACTGAGTCAATGGAACCCAAAGAGCAAAGGTTCTTTTCTTTGCACTATTATATTCTTTTTCTACCCATAACAATGTGAACTACAGAGCAGAACTTACATAAGAAAAGACATTTATGTTGCTGAGCAGCCCTGAATGCACAGTTTGTTTTCTCAGCTACCCACCATTTTTCATTTTTCTTAATGGAAAAGTCCCTTAGAGTGAAGAATGATTTCTGGGTACAAAACAGAGGCAAGCTTCAATAAAGCCACAAGCTCTTTGTGAGGTTCACACATGGCAGTCAGTTTTATAACACCACGCCTTCCAAGCAAACAGTGCTGCAGACATTTTTTCCCCAAGCCATTATTCCTAGTCACAGCCTCCCCCTTTGAATTAATTACAATGCCACAGCAGGACATACATACCCTCACCAACTGGACAATGTATCTATCTCCCATGTGTCTTTAAGGTGGCTTGAACCCCCCAAATGCCAACAGCTCCACTGGTTCCTATTCTCACACCTCTCTAGCTCGCCAATTATAGGTGTCCCTGATCTAAAGTCTTCATCTTTCTGTACAGGTAAAAGATTTCCAGATTCTAGCAGAAGACTGGATCCAGACCCTTGCTTGCCTTCTACCTAATCTGCGTTCAGATCCTGCTGCCTTTCAAGAAAAGCCACAGTTCCAGGGCAGAGGAAGGAAGGACTCCAGGCTTCCTGAGGCGGGAGCACATACTCAGAATCCTGCAGTCTGAAATCCTGTCCCCATCAATCCTAGAAGGCAGCTCCTTCGTTCCAGCTCTTTATTTCGGGTCAGGCTTGCCAAAGGCGGATTGGGGGTTGTTTTTTCCCCTCCTCCTTGCTCTCTTCGCATTCCCACAATAGGCGTTTGCCGCCCATCTCTGCCCGAAGCTCGGCATCTTGCTCTACTTCTCCTCTCTCCCTTTTCACCCAACCTCGCCTTTTTCTCTCCATTTTCGGGAAGGCGTCCACTCCACACGAAACCACCCACAGCAAGCACAAGCAGCCATTCGACTCGCTGCAGACACGCTGCTTGCTCGGAAAGGCAGGAGGAGACGGCGGGCAAACGCCAGGAGAGGTAAAGGGCCGAGGCGGCTAAGGCAAGGCATCCCCGCATCTACACACCTCGCTCCTACGCCCCGGATAACGCATCTCGTTATGGATGGAGATGGCACAATCCCGTTGCAAAATTAAATAAATAAAAATAAATAAAAAAATCAAAGAAACGGGAAGGGGTTGCAATTCTCCCCTTACGGTCCCTCCTCAGCCTGCCGTTTGAACACACCTTTCAAGCCAACAGACCCAAGTTCTGATTTTCTACAGCAGTAGCTGGCTTGGCTACAGCCACGATGTGCACAACTGTACGGGAATAAATCCAAATACCATTCGACCACTATCCTTGGGGGCGCTCTCGTGTGCACACACATACACACGCATCAGCACACCCAGGATCACCCCTTTCTTCTAGGGCTATAGGTAGACCTCCTCCGGCGCATTTATGCCATCCTCCTCTTTCATTTGGGACGAAGGAAGATTGGCACGGGAGGGGGGGTAGGAAGGGGAAGGAGGGGGAAAGCAGCTGCCCAAAATGGGGTGACGCCGCCGCCGGCTAAATCTTACCCAACAGCAGCAGCTTGAGTTCTCGGCGGGCGTCCCGCTTGTCTCGGCGGAGCTGCCTCTCGATCTCATCGTTGATCCTCCTGGCTTCCTTGGCTTCCTCGCTCAGGCAGCACGCCATGATGGACTCCAGAGTCATTCTTCCGAGCTGGTTCAGGCGCAGCCCCCACCCCCACCCCCCGAAAAACACGCAGACCCCCGAGCCACAAAGCCGCGAGCGCCAGAAAGCCCTCCCGCTCCTCAGTCGGAGCGCCCCTCCCGTCGGCAGGCGCGGGCAAAAGGCAAGGCGAGCCCCGGGGAGAACCCTAGCTGCTAATACGTGGAGACGCCCGGGCACCTCCGCCCCGGGCAGGTATCCCCCACCTACAATCCCCCAGTAAGCCTGCCTTCGGAAACCCTCGCCGCTTCCGAGTCCTCCTCTCCCTTCAATCCTGCGCCAAACCGCGGAGAAACATCCGCCCAGGCAGAAGCAGCAGCAGAAGCAGCAAGCGCGCTGCCCGGCAGAAAGCAAAAGCGCCCTGCTTGCAAACAACCCCGCTTTCCAACCCCTCCCTCTATTCCTGCGCTGCCGCCGCCTCCTCCTCTCGGCTTCCTCTCCCGACCCTCTGGCAAACCGCGCGGCTCTTCCCTTCTCCGCCTGGAAGCCTTTAACGGCTGCGCCCGAAGCCGCCCTCCGCTCCGAGCCCGTCCATTTCCTTCGATTTCTCCCCGCTCCCCCCCCTCCCGCTGCCTTTTCCCGAAGGCGGCGGCTCCCGAGAGTCCCGCGCAGGAGACACGGCTTCTGTCCTGACCCTGCGAAACCCTCCGGACTGCTTCTTGGAAAGTCAACTTCCCTCGCTAGGGAGCCTGAGGGCGAAGAGATAGGGAGGGGGAGAGATGGCTGCGCTTGCTTGTCTTCGAAGGCGGCGGCGGCGGCAGCGACAGCCAGGGAGGGCCAGCTCTTCCTTTCTCGGTTCCGCCTTTCCTTTGGTGTAAGAAACGGGGGTGGGTACCGCGGGAGGCGGGGTGGGAGGCAGAGACTGGTGCATATACAGTGCAGCCAGATGGATTTCAGTAGCTCAGCTCTCCGGGCGTGGTAAGGCAGGAATATGGCGGATCTTTTCTCTTGCTTTCTGTTCTGCGCGCACCCCCCTCCCCCCGAAATGAAATCCCAGGGAAGTGGAAGCTTCACACCCCCCTCTTCGCACTGCAGCGCCCGCAGTCACAGAGGGAGGACCGAGCCCTTTCTCCCCACCCCCGCGAGGGGCTGCAAGTAATGCATTGCTATGGGCGTCGCTATTATTCTCTAGGGCAGGGGGCTGCCGCTTGAGGAAACTCAAAACCTTTGAATTTTATAGTTTTAAATCTCGCCTCCCCTTCTTCAGCTCTGTATTCCTTCTTCTGCCCTTTCCACGATATTGTGTGTATGGCGAACCTTCGCTTTCTCTTATTTTTAAAAGAATCCGGGACGTTGTTGGGAGAAAGCAGGCTTAATGGATCAGGCGAAGCGGAGATGAATTGCGTGGGGATAAATCCGGTTCTTCAGAAATATTATGTCTGTAGTTAGAGGAGCGTCACCAAGGGAATTGCCTATTATTTTTATATTTGTTAGATTTATATCCTACCTTTCCTGCTCCAGGCAGTATGACTAGCACTCCTATGAGATTTTCTGACAACAACCCTGTGAGATAGGTGGGTTGGGAAACTGACCCAAGATTACCTGGTCTGAGCACAGCTTTTTTCTCAATGTTGGGAATAATAGTAATTGAACTGCATTGGTTCATTATTTATTATATTTCCGGTGAGTAAAACAGACTTTATGATGTTTAAATCACTCCACTTACCAGATGGTGAAAGTTTAAACCAGACCATTTTCATATCTGTTTTCTTCTATGGTGACTGTAGCTGAGGACCAAAGTTGTAGCTAAGGCCTACCCTATATGCAGTTAAGATTGCCAAACATAAATCACTACTGAGTGGACCTAATCTGCTTTACTTTTTTCTCTTGGAAACTAGAATCCTTCAAATAACTGAATGAAGATAATCAGAGTATACAAATGCTTACTTGAAGATTATGTCTCCAGAAAGAGTTGTAGCTGTTTTGCTCTCCAAAATCTTGGTCTGCAAAAATTAGAGACATTAGAATAATCTTAACACCCTCACCATTGTCAACACTTAATGTTGTTACAGTATAGGCACAGCAATCAAAAATTTGACACCCTTATGCGAGAAAGTGATTCTCACACAGCCAATTTTTGCAAGTGAATTACACCACTATTTTCATGTGACGATCCAGTACAGATGGGACCATGAAATTGCAAGGAGTTGAGCTCAACAGGATATTTTACCTTCACGTCTTACGTAGCTTTCCAGATATTATATAATTATAATGAGCAAATTGGACTCTGTTAATTAACAATTTCATAACTATTTGGTTTAGAGGTAAGATAAGCATGCGAGGAACATGTATTTACAAAATATATAAAATGGGACATGCATGATTTTTTTATTTTGTACCTATAAGAAATTGATCAAGCTTCCCTTGATTTGTACTGTTGCTGGGCAACATCAGTGTAGAGCTGCCACTTTAGGTCTGTTCTCTAAGTGACCTGCTACTATTCTTAGACTCTAGAGTTAGTCCATAGTTTATATCTTTTTTTTTGGTAAGAAAAAAAACTGTCCAACACCAATATATATTTTGAAAGAGCAAGATTAAAGGAACACTTGCATAATTTCAGGGTGACATTACAACCTGAATCTATATGAGAAGTTCTACAACTACCTGCCAAAACAATTTTATTGAAATAAATGTACATTTTATCTTCCATGTTTAACTGCCAAACTCAAGCATAAACCATTCCCACATTGTGCTGGAGTAAAGTTTCAACAAACTTAGGCTTTGCCGATCACTACCTTGATGAATTCTAACAATTTGGAAATAAAGATTAGCAACGCAACAGTAGTGATAAACAGTATTAGTAGTAATAAAACTAATGATACAAGGTATCTTCTATGTCAAATTGTGAAATCATGAGCAAGTTATGAAAAGTTATTTTCAGTTATGAAAAGTTATGCAAGTTATTTTCATTTGGGAAAAAGGTAGTATGGCTTAAATACTATATACGGTATACATATACTTATAAGAATTGAGCCTCTTCTAGTAAAAAGCTTGAAAAAACAGATGGTTTATTTTGGACCTCTTAAAAGGGCCCAGAACAAGGAAATAGAATGCTTACATATCTATGCAGACTCATGATTGATTATATCTTGATGTGATTCCTATTCTGACCATTGCAGCTTGGTTTCTTGTCTTTAGCTCTGCTGGTGGGAGCTGATGAGAGCGGGAAACCAACAATATGAAAAGAAGGCCTTTACCATTTTAAAATTTGTTACATATATTTATAGTTTGGTTGGCGAAAATCCACCCATTTAATCACGAGAGAAAACATCCAGAATCCAGATTCATTAGGGTTTGATCTTAAAAGAACAATCTAATGATAACATACAAATATTTAGTATTTTTAAGTTCTTCCTTTTTATTGAGATATCAATTCTAAGGCATCTTCTCTAATCTAGGACCTCCAAATTAATACCTGCAGGGAGATTGGAATGAGATTGGACCCCCTCTCTATATACATACATACACACACACATATATATACATACAATAGTTTTGATCTTCAACTTTTCAACTAAATGCTTTTGTTTGTGATAGCAACGTAATGTGGGATATTTATGAGCAACACTTATTTTCATTGTATAAAAAAAATAAAACATCACTTAGTGATCTTAGCAGCGTGTCGCTGTAAGAAACAATTAGGTTGGTTCGCTTTCTCTGGTAGGATAGAAGCTGCAACCATATTTAGCTTAGTTGAAAATAAATGTGATTTCTACAAGTTTCCTAATGGGATGAATCCAAAAAACATTTTCTGGACTCGGTTTTGTTATGTAGTTCTTTTCTATGAATCCCGCTGTGACCCTTTTACATTTATTCCCTATATTTGCCATTCTTCCTCTTCTCATTTTCTTCATTTTCTGTTCCAGATAGAAATCCTCCATCCCTTTTTTTATTTGTGCACCTCTTAGGTACCATGCAAACTGATTGTAAAGTATTATTTATTCCTGTAGTTAACTTCATTAAGAGTATTAAGTTTTTTCAGGGGACTCATATAAATGTGTTTTCACACAGTATTGGCAACTATCATGTAATAGCTTGTTGTTTAGAAACAGCCTTACCATTTATGCCAAGACTAACTCTTCCTTTAGGGTCAGCTTGGGACTGCATGGCCTCCATGACAACCATAGAGATATCTCCACTAATAACTAGCCAGATACGTGAGGCAAGGCACACTCCGCATTTGTTTTTTTCCACTTCCCGGCAAGAGCTGTAAGACATTCTCTTTGGGCTGATTTGTACCACTTAAGGGTAAAAGGCTAATGTGAGGTGTAGATTAATATATTCATATTACAGAGAAGATTTGCCCTTTGTTAAAGAATAATTTGTTTTAAGATACTGCTTTTCATGCAAAGTTCTTTAGATATGATGGGAACATACAATGATGCCTATTTTTGTTATATTATGTCACTTTTCTTCCAATTTGTTAAACCCACTGAGCTTTATATTATCGAACTGAACACCAGATATATTGTGAAGTCAATTACATAAATTTGCTAAGAGCCTGTACCAAGGGCCTTCTCCCAAGGAAGAATAATTGTGTTTTTGTACAAATGGTGGATATACTCATTCATTTTCAAGATTCACTAATGTGACATTTACTTAGTAATAAATTTTCAAACATTTTTTTAGTCTTCTAAAATGGCTTGACTTGGCTAGAATTGTTTAAGCATGGCTTGCTGAATATGTCACATCACATGCTAAGCTGTAATAATAGTTGGGTTGCCAGGTTGTAGTTTAGCACTGATATGTGAATTTGGCCATTGTCTTTTAATGGAGGAGTTCATTGGAATCACAAAGAGTAAGTGCACAAATGTTTGTGATCCCTCAGTTACAGGAATATGAATATCCATATCTGCATTGGTCACAGATAGAAGGGAAACATATTCTTTTTAGTAGTACAGTTGGAAGGCAATTTAGTCCACATTTCTTCATTAAGAAACTAAACTATAGAAACAATGGTTTGTCATCATTAAGTGAATCATTATGTATATGTTAAATGAGGATGACATGTGGTCACTATTTGCAACCTGCCAACTTTCTCAACCTTGAATAATCTCTAGGAATGGTCAGTAAGCAAGGACCCCCTGTACTTTGTCATTAATCTACTGAAAATATCAGTTGGTGCTTCTGAACGATTTGGGCTATTGCCTACTTTTCTGTTTTCCCATTTGATTTTTATTCATATGGGTTTTAAAACTGTGGTTGATTCTGCACATTACAGTACACTAAACTATAATGTGGTTTGTTTGATTATAGAACACGGTGTCTAAACAGAACCAACTGATGGCCCTAAAGATGGAGGTGTTTTTTAGACTATATTTCAGATGACAAGAAGATCCAAGCCAGGATTGCCTCTATTACTCATCCTAATTGAACTCACAAGT